TATCTGGTCTCCTACTCTCTTTTATTGTCACATTACTCACATATCATGATTTTCAATGTGGATAGGTTTGTAACTAATATGGCCATATGGAACTGTCATGGGTTGGTAAATATTGAATAATTGGATTAGGACATTACATAGTAAGGTGTAAAAATATGCATTTATATGTTCATACATCTCACAATAGATTATATCAGATTAGAAGTATGTATAGCACATAGCCACATATACATAATGTATTAAATTTCTGTAGTGGTAGTTGTATTTTATAAGTAACCAAGTGAAATATACATATATATTTGGTGTCTTGGAGTTGTAGAAAGGATTATATGTCTAAAACGGAACATATGTAGTTTCTCAAGAGCTAATTATATTTTCCTTGACTATATTCTAAACAGTTTATTAAGTAACACTACAATCACTCCTTTTTAGTTCCACCATTCTCATTTTCACGCTTATCATTGCACAACTTAGACCGTCAGTAAATTTAGTACTTTATTAGTAAAAATATTTAAAAATTATATAATGAAATGAATTCAAAAATATTTTCCCAAAAAATAATTATCAGGCATTAATAAATAAAATGTACGGAGTAATTAAGTATGGGAATTGTAACAAAAAAGTGAAGTTTTGGAATGATGCAAAAGAAATGGAAAATTGTCAATTTTGTCTACGTACTATCACGAAAAATCAATTTGGTCCTCGTAATTTTAAAAAAATCAATCAAATTCCCAAATTTTGTAAAAAAAAAACGTTCAATTGAGCCCATTTACAAATTATTTGTCATGTTAGTAGGTCACCCGCTAACGTGGTGCACACGTGACAGTCCAATTTGCAGTGACTTTGTTGACGTGGTACACATGTGAAAGTCCAATGATCCATTTGATGATGACATGGCGCATACGTGGACCGCCACATCAGCGAGTGGTCTGCTGACATGACAAGTAACCTGCAAATGAACTCAATTAAAGGTTTTTACAAAGTTCGGAGATTTGAATGATTTTTTTAAAGTGTGATGACCTAATTGACTTTTTCGCGATAATACAAAGACCGAAGTGACAATTTTCTCAAATAAATAAATAAATCATGTTGCAATCAATAACAATCAATAACATTAGGTTATCATACTCCAAGATAATTTTTTGGACAGCCTTAAATTATTTGTCAAACCTGCCCACTACTTTTCTAACATCCTGTTGATTTAGCGTCAAAAAATGATGGATCCAATTTAATTGATGGAGAGGGATTGGGCCATCCAATCTCGTGATCCACAAAATAGTTGAGCGAATAATCGGCATGGAGAAAAAAAGAGTAAATTTAAGAAAAGATAAAGCAGAAACGAAACAGCAGAGACAAAACACCACGCCAGTAGGACCGGATACTAGCCGTTGCTGCCTTTTCGAGTGTTTTTAGGTTTTTTCAAATTTCGAAATTCAAACGCACATCTGACCCCAAACGCGGCTTAGCTGTATATCAAGCTCAACCCTCATTCTCTACCTCCAACTTCAATTTTTTTCTATATTCGTAGAAGAAAAAACAGGAAGGAAAATCAGTTCTGTTTGTTTGTTAAAAGAGATTATCTGAGTTTGGATAAAGCATGGGCGCTTCTGGAAATTGGATCAAATCACTTATCACCCTCAAGAAATCTCACTCCAAACAGGCCACAGTAAGTTCCTCTGCAGTTCATCGTTTTCGCACTGATCCTGAATTAAAATTTTTGCTTTTATTTACGAGTATGTTGGAATGTGTAGGCGAAGGAGGGAGGGACATGCAGGGTCTGGAAGCTATGGAGGAGTGGATCGGGCGGGCCTAGGCCTGGAAAATCAGAGAAGTATCATGAAGATTCGGAAGGATCCATTTCTTCGTTCGTGTCCGATAGCGCTCTGGCCGCCGCCATGGCGACTGTGGTTAGGGCTCCGCACAAGGAATTCGTCTTGATGAAGCAGGAATGGGCTGCGATTCGGATCCAAACTGCATTTCGCGGATTTCTGGTAATTTCTCCGAATTCATTCACCACTTTCTGCAGAATACGTTAAATTTTCGGCATTAAGAACCCTAATATTAAACATGATAAGAATATTTACTGATGTGAAGGCGAAACGGGCACTGAGGGCGCTGAGAGGAGTGGTGAGGATACAGGCCATATTTCGCGGTCGACAGGTGAGAAAGCAAGCTGCTGTAACATTAAGGTGCATGCAGGCTCTGGTTCGAGTTCAAGCACGAGTTAGAGCTCAATCTTCTTCTCAGGCAAATGATGATCTCATCAAACAAGCTCCTGAGGTACATTGATCAGTCACTTCTTTTAAGTTCATTATCAGTACTATTTGATACCTATCGAGCTTCTAGGAAATATGATTTCCCGTCCTCCTAACTTCTGAAATTTACAGAATGAATGGAGTAATAGCCCAGGAACAGTAGAAGAAGAAAGGTGCAGATTGATGAAGAAGCAAGAAGGTGCCATGAAGAGGGAGAGAGCCCTTGCTTATGCTAATTCTAAACTGGTATACTGTTTTTGTTCACTTATCTCAACAACTTGGTGAATAACTGCTTCCTCAATGAATACTTTTAAATAGAACTTGTAATCAACCGGACTAGATGCTGAAAGCATAAATCATTCATATGGAGTTTCAAGTATACAATATACGAAGTAAATATTATATGTAGTATAGAAAGAAAGTAAAGACATTTGAAAGATCTAAGAACATAGTAGTAGGAATCAATGTAAGGAAAAGCATGATGATGAAATTGAATTATTCTAATTTGCAGCAAACAAGAACCAATCCAACCTCAACCCCTGTAAGCACAAGAAAGAAGCTGGTGAATTCAGCAAAGATAAAGACAGCGGGGGAGAAGGAAGGGGACAATAGCTGGCTTGATCGTTGGGTCGCAACTAAGCCCTGGGAGTTCAGTAAGTCAGTGGGAGGAGACACCGACTCATCATCTGGTGGAGTGATGACAACCACCTCTGGAGGAGTGGGAGGAGGATCCAATCTTGAACAACACCCTAACAGCTCTTCTGTCAAAATCAGAAGAAACAACATGTCTACCAGGATTTCAGCAGCAAAAGAAGCAACCCCACCATCCGATCAGCTGTGTTCATCCTCATCCTCATCCTGGCATCAGTTGTATAACAATGACAGCACAAGTCATTCGCCGATGTCTTCGTCGCCCGAAGAAGATGCGCTGCCACGTAACAATGCACCAAACTACATGGCACCCACTGAGTCCATTAAGGCAAAACATAACAAGCTGCAGCAGAGAAAAACATATAATTCATCTTCATCTCAATGTGGTGATGATAACAGCAGCAGCATGCAGAGGCATTCACAGGATTTCCTGTCATGTAGGGGTAAATCAAGCCCTCTTCGCCGCCATGGGTCGTTGATAATGAGAAGAAGTGCTGGTGCAGATAATATGATGAAGAACTCCTGCAAGGATCTCTATCCTCCTCCTCCTATGCAGCAGGTTGTGAGATGAATGTGATGATGGTGATTGATGAAGAAAAATACAGGGAAGGATCTTCAAAAGTATTAATTGAAGTGTGAACTTTTTTGTTTACTGTTTTAATGTGTTCCGTGTGAGGGAGGTCTCAACATCTTGTTGTGTTGTGTGTAGAAACAGTGATGATAGGACAAAAATGTAATCATACACATATATGTAATCAGTGGTGATGTCATTGTAATATTGTTTGTTAAAATGTACTTTTATGTTAGGGAAAAGGTGCAAATAGGCTCACGTACTAACAAAAAAAGGTCAAATAAGCCCTTATTTAGGAGGCTCTGTTCGGCCGTCACCATTTGGGTTGGTTCCCGGTGGAATTTTTTGATGAAATTTTTTGAGCATCTTATTCATTAACTCTAGTTTACTCATACAAAATTTCAGCTAAAACTTCAATCGGGAAGGCATTCAAATAAATTCTTGAAAATGACTGCACACTTAGAAGCGCAGTTATCTTCAAGAATTCATTTGAATGTCTTCCCGATTGACATTTTAGCTGAAATTTGATATGAGTAAACTAGACTTGATGAATAAGATGCTCAAAAAATTTCATCGAAAAATTCCACCGGGAACCACCCCAAATGACGACGGCCGGACAGAACCTCCTAAATAAGGGCTTATTTGATCTTTTTTGATTAGTACATGGGCCTATTTGCACCTTTTCCCTTTATGTTATACTATATCTTGTCTTACATTATGAAACTGGTTGTATATTTATAGTTTTCTTATCTGATTGTATTATGTTTCCAGTTTCCTAGACTACTACTCCGTAATAAGTATGAGTTGGTCCAAATGAGCCCACATTTAAAAGTGTTGTCCCACTTAAATGTGTTGCCCAATTTGTGGCCACACAATAGGGGTAAGAATGGGTACCCAAAATGGGGTACCTATAGCATTTTTGAATAAGTATTCTTATTTGTGAAGTTGTGTGGAGTCTTTCAAATTCAATTGAATAAGAGAAATTTCAATCTCTACATGGTTCACAAACCCGCATTTCAAATTTGAACCAAAGAATCACCAATTCCTGATTTGAAATGAAATTTGAACCAAAGCATCACAAAGTACCAAATTTGAACCGCGGATCATTTGGCTCAAAACATTTTTAAATTAGCTCATTTGGTAACCATTTTTCTACTTATAGATCCTTTTTTTATTAGACACGTGACTTTTGATTTCATGTGTTGCCGTAATAACAAAAAATATATAAAGTTGATTTGATATTACTTTTCTAACTAAATTGATTTGAATGGTTAAAGTGGACCATTTAACTACTTTCATATATGTTTTTCTTTAGTTTATTAAAATCGAATTCAGCTAATAACTTCTTGATCTTTCAAATCCAACCATTTGTTTTTCCCGGCTAATAACAACATGCACAACAGCTAATTCACCATTTACTACGAAAGTTTATTTTCTTTGTTTGCCTTATTGGTTACCAATTCGATGATTCAATCCAGAGGCTATACACATATTTTGATGAAGCTAAGAAAAAACTTTTAGGACCATCATGTATATGCATGTACTTTATTTTTCCTTGTATGCATCACCAAATTAAAGCTCCAACTAAACCAAGTGGCTTCCCAAAAGTCCAAAAACAGAGACAAAATAGAATGGAATAGTCTATTAGTTTCATCCGTCTTAATTGGCGAAATGATTTCTACACAGCAAATCTCATCTCATTATATATATTTGAGAACAAAAACTACTGCTCCGCCCATCCATTCATGCATGATAATGGCCGGCCTCTTCAATATAACATATGTATTGGTGACGAAGTTGAACTAAGGACTGTAAAGGGCGGGCCCACACTTGCATTTCCAGCCTTCAGGTTCATAGTTTGTGTACTGCTGAACACCCGCCGCAGCGCCGCCTCCGCCGCCGCCGTTGGTGGCTGGCACTTGGATGGCTTCGCAAGGCATGCATCCATAGCATTTGTGATCACACCTTGGTGCAAATGACCCTATTCTCCTCCCCCCTTCTGCTTTCTTCTCACCCTTCCATATACAATTAGCAAACAATTTAAAGAAAAATAGCAAACAATTTAAATACACAAACCACACACAGTCAACTCAAAGTCAATGTTTTGATGACTGTTACCATAAAATTTGAAGTACAGAACAAAAATGTCACAGTTCTGTTTTGTTAAGGGTGGAAAAAGTAGATGATTCTGAGAATGCATATGGTAAGTTTTTTGGGTTAAGTAACTAAATAAATTTACATTAACACACCTGAAGTAGTGAAGAATTGGTGGGAGCAAAAGGCCTGGTTTCTGCATTAGGCAAAGCTAATGTGAGGAGAAGACAGAGGAGGATGTAAGACCTGGAAAACATTCTTTTTCTGTTGTGATGATGAGGAAAGAAAGAGGCAAACTGAATTCAGAGTGATCTTAGAATAAGGTGAAGATGAGATTGAGAGAGGAATGAATGAATGAATGAATTTAGTGCTGTATGGTATATATATAGATGGAAAACCAGGTGATGGTTGTTTTGATGGCTGTCTTTCTTTAGTTTTGGGGTCAATCCAAGATTTCATTTGGTGAGTGCTTCTTTTTAAATTACGAAGTATTTCTCACAGAACAAAAGGGGAAGAAGTGATATTTGTCCCATTTCCCCAAAAGCTATACCTCTGATACCTGAGCTCTAAGCTAGCTAGGAGCAGCATTAATGCATGTAGCTAATAGAACTTCTGCTTCCAAGAATTTCCTCCCCAGTAAATCATACTGTTCATCTTTGCTTCTCCTACAAGGGATCCTATTTCTGCCCTTTCTCCTTGAAAACTCTGAGACCAACCTCATCTACAGTATTTTGTACTCTCGCTCTACTTTAATTTCTTCCCAACTCAAATGTTTTAGAGCTTGTTTTGTAACACTAAAATTGGCTGAATCGGCTAATTCTGCTGAAATTTATGATGTTCTAGTTGAAGTAGTGTATAGGCTAATTCTGCTGATTTATGAAAAAAATAATTTAAAATATACTCACTCTGTCCCGCAAAGATGTTCCCGCTTTCCTTTTTTAGCAGTCCCAAAAAGAAGTTCCCCTTTTCGTAAATGGAAAGTTATCCTACATCAAAACAGTGTCAAACAGTGCCAAACAGTGTCGAAATAGTGTCAAAACAATAAAATTTACCCCCTGATAAGTTTATTTCCTTAACATGTGTGTAGGTCAAACCGGGAACATCTTTGCGAGACGGAGGTAGTATTTTAGTAATTATACTTCGTATGAAAAATAGCTAAAATGGTCATCTACAGTAACTTCAGCCAATACAGACAGAAAAGTAACTTCAATCTTACTTTTTCTTATTATTACACAATTCGGCTCGCGAAATCAAAAAATATGTGTTTGGTTAAAAGTTGGTTGATAAGTCTGATAAGCTGAAATATAAAGTCACCAAACAGGCTCTTAATTTGCATCACTCTTTTTTAGTTTCTTGACTGTATGTGACTCCTTGACAAATCATTTTTTGGTCTCCTAATACTAATACTAATATCTTAACATCATACTAGTATCTTTCCAATTAGTTACAAGAAGTGTGTCCCAAAGTACTAACTTCACTCCTCTAAAATTGAGATATGGAGCAATGCTGTTATAAAGATATCCGGAGTTGCTATCATTGAAATATTATCAAATATGGAAATGAAACATGCATGCTTAAAACGACAAAAGAAAAAGATAAAATAAGTGACACCAATGATTATGATAAAGTGATGGAGGAAGTACTCCCTTCGTCCCTATTATATCTTCCAAATAAGTTTGGCACAGAGTTTAAGATAGTGAGTATTGTATGGTGGAGAGTTGTGCAGAGGAGAGAGAAATGTGTAAGAATTGCTGTGAACCACAAATTCTGGTCAAAAGGGGAAAGTGGAAGTTTTAATTGGGACGGACGAAAAAGGAAAGTTGGAAATTTATTTAGGGACGGAGGGAGTAATTGGTAATGCTGGAATTCGAGAAAAGAGTCATACATATTAGTGACATATACTCATAATTAGGACAAAAACATTACACATGCTCGTTGTGTGTTTTATTCCGATTTATGACACTTTATTATAGTTGGACCTTGTTAACACTTATCTTAGTGACATATAAAGAGTTACTCTTTTTTTCTACATTCTGGCTTGAACAATTACCTGGAGACAGGCATCTTGTAACTGGTCGGAATTCACAAATACTACGTATATTAGTGAGACCCGTTTGGAAACCCTGTTTGCAGCAAGGAGATAATTTTGATTTCGCGTGAGACCCGTTTGGAAACCCTGTTCTTTTGTTTATCAGCCTTATAATATAACTTTTGCACCAAAGAGATAATTTTGATTTAGCGTGTTGAATAGTGTAATAATAAAAATAAGTAAGATTGAAGTTACTTTTCTGACTACATTGGTTGAAATTACTGCAGAAAACAATTTTAACTATTTTGCGTATAATTTTTTCTTTATTTTATTAAAGAAAAGTATTTGAAATATTTTTTTCATAAATCAGTAGAATCAGCCAATACAGCCACTTTCACCAGAACTTCATAAATTTTAGCAGAATCAACTGATGAAGTCAATTTCAATGTTACCAAACGATCTCTGAGTAGTATGTTGTGTTTGTAACACATTCTCAATTGGGAAAATGGAAATTAATAATCCAACCTTTTAGCGAATTTTTTACAATAGTCTCACCTTTTCGTTATTCATGAATAATCCAACATTTGCATCTCATCTTCCTTCACTGGTCTTTGACCGGTTGATGACCTGTTATTCCAAGTTATTTTCTTATCTTTGCAAACCATTATACCATAAATCTCACCTTTCACAAAGATAATATTTTGCAAAGATAAGAAAATAACTTGGAATACCAGGTCATTAACCGATCAGGGACCAACGAATGAAGATGAGGTGCAAATGTTGGATTATTCTTGAATAACAAAAAGGTGAGACTATTGTAACAAGATTGCTAAAAGGTTGGATTATTAGTTTCCATTTTCCCTTCTCAATTTACGTTTGTATTATTATTAGGAGATTTATTTATAAATTATAATGAGTCCATTTGGTAACACTGAAATTGACTGAATTATACGAAGTATAATTCTACTGAAATTTATGATGTTCTGGCTGAAGTGGCTAGATTGATTAATTCTGCTTTATTATGAAAAATAAATAAATATATTTTATCAATAAAATAAAAAATATATATGAAAGTAACTAAACCGGTCTTCCACAATAACTTCAGTCATTGTAACAAGAAAAGTAACTTCAACCTTACATATTTTGATTATTACACAACTCAGCGCACGAAATCAAAAGGTACGTGTTTGCCGAGAAATAAAAAAACTGATAACTCGGGGTCACCAAACGGGCACCATCTATGCCCCTCTGTTTATTATCAGGAGATAGTGGGTCATTAAAAGTTGAAGTTTTGTGATTAACATAGAATTGGCAAAATAAAAATGATTTACAAACACTCAAATATTGAGTCATCCATCTCTTCAAACTTTGTTATCTTTTCTTTATTAGTTATCCCGAAGATTTTGTCAATTTTCATTTTAATCAATTATTTTGTGGTTTTATCACTTCTCTCTCATTTACACATATCTCAATCACACAATGTTTATTTTATTATTTTCCGTGGTGGTCAAACTTGTCAAAGTTTTGAAGGACTATAAAGAGTTCTTAATTTAGGTCAGAAACAATTTTAGTGAAGTGGACCAAAATGGAAGAATGCAAACAATCTTAGCCGGGGGAATATAGATTAGATAGTTGTATACTATACACCTATTTAGGAAAGACAACAATATTTACTTCTATTTGAGCAAACACTATATAATTGATAGGTGAATGAGTAGTGATCACTCATACATTCTAATATACATTTCACAAATAATTTCCCCCTCAAGGTAGCAAAATATGTTTCTTAAACCGAGCAATTCAAAATATATTAGTATATACTAGGTATCATTTGTATTATATTGTTTGCTACGCTTTCATTTTTAGGATGTATTTTATCGTAATTTTAACTCCGTATTATATTTTTCCTTTTTGGTAAGTTCTTTTCTTTAAAAATACTTAGAACCCGTCTGAAAACACTAAAATTGGCCGAATCGACTGATTTTGCTGAAATTTATGAAATCCTGACGGAAATGACTGGATTGGCTGATTCTACTGATTTATGAAAAAATTAAATTTAAAATATTTTTTTATTAATAAAATAAAGAAAAAATTATACTTCATCCGTCCTATTGGACTTTGCCAACTTTTCTTATTTGGTTGTCCAAAAAAACTTTGTCACTTTCCTATTAAAACAACTAATCTGTGCTTCTACACATTTCTCTCTCCTCTGCACAAATATCAATCACACAGTTTTTACTATTATCATTTCTCACCTACTTTGCACTTGGCAAAGTCCACCGGGACGGAGGTAGTATGAAAAATAGCTAAAATGACCATCTACAGTAACTTCAACTAATAATACCAGAAAAGTAACTACAACCTTACATTTTCTTATTATTGCACAATTCAGTGCGCGTAATCAAAAGTTGCGTGTTTGGTGAAAAGTTGACTGATAAGTCTGATAAGTTGAAAAAACATGGCCACTAAGCGGACTCTGAAAGTCCGTTTGGTAAAATTGAAATCGGTTGAATCGATTGATTTTGCTGAAATCAAAAGTAATGTGTTTGATAAAAATTGACTGAAAGCCGAAAAAACATGGTTACCAAACGGGCTCTTAATTGCCTTATCTTTCTATTTGTATCTTCTCTTTTATACGGAGTATTTTTCACAATCTACTACGAAGTACATTTTCTATAGTATTCATAATCTACTACTATTCCTTCATGTCAAACTCTTTTATACGGAGTAACTAACATTACCATAGGTATTTAGGCAGGGTTGATTATTCCAATTTCTTAAAGCATGTGAACTTAATTTTGAAAATAATTCCAGACAACTCAACTCATTGATCATTTCAATTAATTGACTATCAACTTTATTTGCATCAAAATCTTGACCTTATTTAATTGACATAAACATAGGGATGAGAGTAGCTAGGTACAATATAGTGTAGGAGAAGGAAGGTTGGATGCCTAGACTGCAGAGTCACCATTTGTTTGACAGTTCACATTGCACTATTGCAGAGGTGGAGGCAAAATATAAGTATAGGTATATATGTCCTGTGTCCAATTGTCCAAAGAGACCAGATCATATAGAGATGATTTTCATTTTTCATGTTTTGAATTGATAAATTTTCTTAACAAAAGTAATGGATATTGTAAACCTTTTGCAAAGTCTATATAGAATAAGAAGAGTTTTTTTTTATCATATAGAATAAGAAGAGTTTGAAACACTTTTTATTAAATATGTAATGAGACGAACTAAAATATTATTTTGCATTTGATAAAAAAAAATACGATAATGATGATGAAAACATAAAAATTAAAAATATTACTCCATGTTGAATTTTTTTTAATCTTATTTGAACTTAAAATACTCATTTGTTGTTAAAACGGAAAACTCTTTCACTAAGAAATAAAAGCAACAAATTGACAATTTTTGAAAATAAATATACGGAGTACTATTGAAATGTAGTCCCCGTGACTATGAGTTTATAAATGGCACATACCAATTGTACAAATGGTTGTAAATTTGGTTATCATCATCAAATCTAAACTAACATCACTAAGGGTTGGTTTGCAACTCCTTTTTAAAAAGCACTTCTCAGCTTTTGGCTTTAAAAAAGTACTTATTTTCTCAAACACTACAACTTTTATTTTT